TTTGATGACGGCGATTCCATGGTAGTATTTGCAAGTGTCTTTTTTTTCACTTTTTCTGGAACTTGCGCGACAGCCACCGGCACGACTCTGCTATTGATCTGCAAAGGGCCTTGGTAATCGATCTGAATATATGAAAGCAAAATTGAGTACTTGTTAAATATAATTATATTATTACGATTAATTATTATTGTTATTCACTCATGAACGTGTACTAGTGGAATCTGCAGACTACATATAAGTAGTAATATAGTAAGCATATCTTATATTATACCTACTAATACGTTTTGAAAAATATGTCTGCAAGTTTATCTCAAAACAATGTCACGCCGATTTAAAATGAATATTTTATACAATATATTTCATATTAATCTCAACACGCACTCGAGTTGGACATAATGATTCTAATAGTTCATATTCTTTAAGAACCAATTAAATAATTAAGTAACTTTTAACAAATGTAGAGGGAAAAATTAATAATTGTACTTAATGAATATGACTATATGAGTGTATGACAGTGTTTGAATGAAACGAGTTCCAACAGAAGCGGATGCCAGAATAAACCTACCTAGGACTAATTTCTTTTTATAAAAAAAGAACTAGAAATGAAACAAGTTCCATTTTTCGAGAAAAAATAACGAAATTGTCCGTTGCTTTCGAGGTTCGATTTACACAGACACCTAAATAATTTAAATTAAAATGTGTATTTTACTTAGTGAAAATGTATTGCCGATTGGTGATCGATTATCGACGCCAATCGTTAAAATGTATAGTCACTATATATACTAATATTTCTTATATATTATAATATAGAAATCGTTGTCGCGTCAAAAAAATTAGCACGAACATTGAACAGTAAAATAATTTATGATGCGGTTTGGTACTCGGGAGTAAGTAACATTTGTGAGTACAAAATTTCGTGTTGAATGACACTGTAAAGGTCCCTTAAAAGGACGCCACACACGAATATCTTGTCTACGTCTCACAAACACATAACATAGAACTTATACGGACAGCAAATCACTGTTTATTCCGTTAGTTTAAACTTGATGGTAAAAAATAAAAACATTATCTGTCTTCCAGCGAATTGGTTTTTTACGATAGTTCAATTTTTAAGCAAGTTATGAGCATTTTTAATTTACGTTATATTTATGTATCCATAACTTGCTAAAAAATTTAACAATAGTAAAAACCAACATTAGAAGTTAGAACACAGATAATTAAGTTTCATAAATTGCATTCACTCTAATTTTTAAGGTAACGGAATTCAACGTGATCTGCTTCTCGTAAATTTGCTGTTACGACGGAGACAACACATGCGGGTGTGGCGTCCTCTTAATGAGTTTACATAAATTATTTTTGCTTATATTTTGTTCTAGGTATCTGAACTAAAAAAAGGAAAGACAAAGGAACAAATCCTTTTTTTAAGGTAGAGGGGAGATGAATTCCATTTTTTTTTAAAGAACGAGGAACAGAACGAATTCCTTTCCATAAAGAACGAGCCAAACACTGACAACCTACTTCAAAAAATGTCCAGTGAGAATAAACAAACAACTGATAGAAATACAGTTTTAGTTGTTTAACTAATTATTATCTCATATCTACAAATAGGTACTTATCTGATGGATGAATATTTAGAGAAGTTAATCTACCTGTAGGTACCTTTTAATTAATTAAAATATAATGTTCGTCTGTATTTATGATTATTCTGTGAAACAGAAACAACTACGAAAATCACGTCTCCCCGACCTATGAAAACTGAAACTATAAAAATAATATTGATTACACAAAATCAAAATAGAAATAATTTAGTATTTATTCTACTTGAAACCCGTATAATACGATAAAGAGGATATCAGTGCACTGTTTATTTTGTCTCTGGCCACAACATTACAGACAAAAGGCATTCAATCAAAAATCATTTTTATGCATTTAAGTAATCATAGATTAATATCACCCATAAAAAAATTATAGAGAATAATATATTTGAGAGTATAATAATATGATATAAATTTGAATAAATTTTGTCTAAAAACAATTTAGTAGGTATTCATTTAAATGTACAAAAAAAATGTTATTTTTAAAAGCGAATATTAAGTTAAATAATAATAAAATATGAACCCGATATATCAAACCTTCAAAATTATTATCGTTTGTACATTTTTTAATAGATGATTTCCCTCTGAGAAAACTCAAAAATTTTGCGTCTGCGGGTGAGTGAAAGAGAAAATACCTAATTATTAAGCTAACATTTTCTTAACAATTGCCATGCGCAGAACCCCGTCATTATTATATTATGTACTCATATATTCAATTGTATTATACCTACCTACACAAAATTACCTATGAACTGCAAGTCTATTAACACGATTTCACTAGAAGACCCACATTGGTATGCATGTGTTGTAAACGCAGCTATAACTAATACTATCAGCAGGGGTCGGCAAGTAATTTCTATTGGAGTCCTAAAGATTAAAATGAAAAATCAATGTGGTTCAGTTAAAAAATCTTTTTCGAATTTTTATATTTTAACAATAGCAGTATAAAAATAATAATGCCGTTTTAAATTTCAACTTTAATAATATAATTTTAACATAATAGCGACAGTTGAATTGCAAATTAAACAGACTGGTATGGCTCCAGCCCTTTCAGGCAATACAAAACAATACAGTTCTGTCCACTCGTTCATAAACTTCCAATTTTCGCTGTCAATTTTGCGTGTTTTAGTCAACATATTGAACGAATAATAAAAAAGAAATAATATACATGTTGACAGGGTCCAAAGTTTTGCCTTCCGAGGTTGCAGTTACCGACCCCGGCTCTATAGAAGATACCATATACGAATATAACGTTAATACAAATTAAAGGACACTAGCATAATATCCTAAATAGTGAACTACTTCTTATCAGTGGCTTGGCGTGGCGCGGTTGCTTCAATCAGTGATTGAAAAAATGATTGAGAGTACGCACCATCCGCTGAAACTAGTTCCCGGATGGATGACCACCAGAGTTCTTGATGGTGATAACCTTGATACACAAACACGAGTTGTTTAACCAACCGCACCTCTACGCTACAAAAAACCGTAACCCCTACAATACCTATTACCTAATGGCCATAGTTGCCGTGCTCAAGACCAATACAAAAATAAATAAATAAACATTTCTTATCAAAATATCATTTCAATATCATTGCCCTCGAGATTGTAATAATAGTTTACTCCTTAACATTAACATTAAAAATATAGCAAAATGTAAGCAAATTATATACAATCTCGGGGGCAATGATAACAATTTGTTCGTCACTATTTTAGTAGTTTAGTACAGACTACAGAGGCCAGAGCAGCAGAGAACGAATAATTAAAATATCTTAAATTATATAGTACCTATATCTTAATTCGTGTTACAAAGTGTCTTGTATAATATAGTATTTTACATATTAGGTTTAGGAACATCATACATTAATGGTAATATTTTAATATGGATGATAAATATTATTGACACTGCTGCAGATTTATTAAAAAATGTGTTTTTGGCGTGACGCTATATCTGCACTCTATTAGCATTAGGTTATAAATGGTTTTTTAATTTTTTTTAATTGTTTTATCAATGTTTGAATAACTTCACCAAATAAAATATATTTAGAAATATATAATGTACCTATGCGATTGCCAGTTTATCTATACGGTTCCGATTTACGTTTTAAAAACTAACTTGTAATTTTATACTAAACCCTATCTGTACCTACACTATTTTTTAAAAAATATTTATTTTAATTTTTCTGATTTGAAAAGATCAAGGAATTGAAAAGAGCTTGATTTCTGTATACTATGTTTGCATAACCAATCGGTTTCCTCTTTCATTGGTATGAATAATCCGTTTCGGTCTATACCTCATTAATTAATTAAGCTAGTGAATCCGATTTATAGTTGAATATAATTATATATTTTTTTAACTCACAACCCGTGTTTTTTCACGTGGGACGTATACTCGTTAAGTTGTGTATAAATAACGTCTTCTTGACTTTTTTTTTTTAAGTGCATTTTAAATACGCGGTAACGGCGTAGTGCATTAGATCACCTTTCCAAAACGCACTATAAATATAATATAATATTACTTACCTAGGTATAATGCCGAGATAGCGAAATGCATTGTTGTCGAAATCGAAATTAAGAATCATTTAGACTTAAATACTCGCTTAAATATGATAAATTGATCAGTGGCATAATCAGGAGTGGTTTTGTTTGGGTGTTTAAACCTCCATTTCATAAATCTGGCTACGCCAATGAACTTAACAATTTCCTACCTATCATAGCTATACTTACATTACTAGTACGACAGGGAATTATAAGCATGCATGTATGTTATAATAAATTCTTAATATTCTTACTTTGGGCACAATTTTTATTTCTGTAACTTTTCTGCCTTCTGATGGTCCGACTTTTCTCAATTTAAAATGTTTCGCTTCGTCGGAGGCGGCCTGTCGACATAAGAGGGGAAAAATAGATATATTTATATTAAAATAATAATCAATGATTAACTATCGTCTAAGCAAAACGTTTAACAACGATTCCCGAGACGCAAGAGTGCAACAAACGTGATTTTTTTTTAAGCGCAGCAATCAAATGAAACGCATCGCAAAAATATGCATTTAAATTTAAAATTATATACCGCGATCGGTGGTTGGTCATCGGTGACGGTGGAAGCGACAGCTGCAATCTTATCTTTGGTCCTCCACGGCACAGTAGCTTTCGGCACCGGGTTGAGTCCATCTTTCACCCACGGCGGACGAAATCTCTGATTGTTGCCGCCAGACATTCAAAACGTTGAACTTTACAATGTATTAGCAAATGCAATATTAACACCGATGGGCGATGGAAGTAATAAATAGCGATTTAATCAGGCGAAAAAAAAATTATCACAGCTAGGTAAATATATTTGTATTTATTACATTTTGCTAGACTATAACTGGAAAGAAAATTCGTTAGAAAAGCAAAAAATCAGAACGAATGGCAGTGGCGAACTGGACGGCGTAAAAATAGAATTTATTATTATGGTGTGGGAAGATATTTCACACTGTTTGGCGACATTCCATATCAAACACTCGGTGTAAATATATATATTTAAATATATCATATATACTAAAATACTGTATAAGATTCACAAGGAGAGGGAGAAAGATACAAAAAAATACTTGTACACATCTCAATGAAACTCAAGAAAACACCAATTAAACAGCATCATCAAAAATATAAATATAATACTATATTTTAAATATAAACGTAACACATATTTATTTTTATTACTTTAATTCATTTTCACAATAACGTTTACCTAAAAATATTCATAACACCATTATTTACTATTTAGCTTTACATATTTTATATTATAATCTATACACGGTTATCATTCGCAGAGAATATTTGAAACAATGTCTTGCTGATGGCCGGCCCAACAGTTTTGATTGGTATACCATAAGATATATTAGCCAATAAGAGTGGATTACCTGATCTTTTAAATGCATTTATAAGCAATTTTGGACTAGGGTATTGCTCAACAATTGCAAATGCTTTATGAACAGACAATCCTCGGATCTGAAGTAATTGGCGAATCAGCATGTCTCGTACAGTCATATTCTATAAAATGAATTAATTACATATTACAAAAAATTAAAAATTAAAAAAACTATTCAGTACAACATTAACATACTTTGTTTTTTGCAGAACCTGATGAAAATGTTTTAAAAGATATAAGGTTTACTATATTTGAAGAGTTTTTATAGCCAGAATCTATTTCATCAATATGAGTAGTAAGCGTTTTGTCCTGTAAATATTTTAAAAAATGTCTATTAACTTCAATTTACATTTATTTGATTTATATAGAAGAGTAAGACAGTTATACCTTGAACATATTTGTAAGTATATTAGAAAAGTTGGCAATATATTTCATAGATTCCAAATGATTTTCTGTTCTCACAATTGTAAATCCATCTATGACCTCCGTGTTTGCCAATGCTTGTTGTAAATGAGATATTGGTAATCCGTGATATTTTTTTTCATTCTCAACTAGATAGATTTTGTTTTCAAGTCCACATTGTTTTAATCTAAACTGTAAAAAATTAAAAATTAATACTTACAAACTTATTCTAAATCATAATTGTTTCATAAAAATGCATTTACTTTCTGCTCGTGAAAACGGCCGTCTTGAATGCTACCTGATAGATCATCTAATCGTTTTCTTTCTAGTATATATGGTAACATAAGTTCTTTTCCACTTCTGTCACGACAAATCCAAGCAAAATCTCCGACACTCAACCTTCTCATTTCGAATGTCACATTTAAAGATGACAATTCTGAAATTACTTTGTCCACGTTGGTTTTTCTATAATATAAAAAATACCAACAAATGAAACATTGTTTCTAAAATATACACAATACACATACCGTAAACTACTTGATTCACCTGTATCAATAAGCAACACGACAGTAAATTCATTTGGCCACAAAACAATCTTTTCTTTTTCTACATTGGCAGGATTGTTTTTCTATTTTAAAAAAAATCAATTAAAGCACAAGGAATGTAATAGAAAACTTAAATTTCTAAAACAAAAATTAAAAACAGTAATTTATTGAACTTTTTAAATATTTACAATTCAAAGGTGCTCTAAAAAGTTGTGTTCACTTTAATAGTGGAATTCTGTTGACTCTATCTAACACTTTTTTATTTTTTACTTACAGGCAAATCATCATGAGTCAGAGAAATTATTGAATTCTGGTAATGATTACTAGTTGAAGGTTGTAATACTTGTTGAGGGTTGACATTGACAAGTCTTGCATTTTTAGAAATGTCAGCCGTGATACCTTCATCTGCAATATATCATTTAAATCTATGATGTTGGTGTGAACATGTTATGTTAACAAAATAATTTAACAATAAAATATATTTATTTAGATATCTGAACCTGGAGACATTTTATTATGTTGTTCAAGCTGCTTATCTAATCTGGCACATAATTTAGGACCAAAAAATTTTAGAATTAAACATTCTTTTCCGCTCTTAAATGGCAATGGACATTTCCGTAATGAACTTAATGCCTAAAATAATATGTAAGTCATTTTAAATTGTCAAAGTAATTATTGTACATAGGTATAATAATATGGTATTAATAGGTAATAGTATGGTACACACATCTATATAATTTCTTTTGATTTTAAACAAATAGGTACAACAATATTTATAAATTGTATTACTAAAAAAAATAGTAGTTTATTTGTACAGCTTAACATTACCTATAGTTTGTTCTCAACTCATGTATTAGGGATTTAGGTATATATATATTATATATATGTATAATATATACAGGGTGATTCACCAAGCATACTTCCCCCCTTTTTTCTTCAATAATGCAGTTGTTCAAGATCTGATTTTTTAATTTTTAAATAAACTTCAAGCCTTAAGACCAAATATTTTCAAATTCTTGAGATTTTTTACACTAGGTACTTAAAGAGTGTTTTGAGGAGATACAAACTTCTATTTTTCAAAAGAAAACACCCCTATTCAACTATAAATTATACAGTGGATAACTTTTTTGAAATTGTTGACATATCAAAATCAAAATGTTTACCAGTAGATTTTGAGTTATTTGTCTTTGTGTTCTAAGGATAAAAAGTGCATAGTAACGAGTTTATAAGATATGGGGACCTATGGTGATTTGGAAATTGTAGTCATTTATATTAATCTATCAGTATTAATAATTAGTAAAAATGGCCCAAGTACAGCAAATACAAGATCCAATTCCAAGTCTATTTAATATTTTTGTAAAACCAGTTTTAGGGACTATTATCCTTAATACAAACATTTTAATAACTAGGAAAATACTCATTCAAACTTTAAATGTGGTACATCAACATTTTCAAAAAAATTATCCACTAATTAATTAACAGTACAAGAGGGGTTCTCATTTTAAAAACAGAATTTTGGATCACCATAGGACACTCCTTACCTAAGTAGGTAGTACAAAAAAATTCAAGAATTTGAAAATATGATTCTATGTGAAGGTATATTTAAAAATTCCAAAAATTAGAATTTGATTAAGTTAATTATTAAAGGAAGAAATGAGGATAAGCATGATTGGTAAAACACCCTGTTTATATAATACAATATGCATTTATCATTAAAAAATAAATATAATATATTATAAAAATAGGTATGAATTCCCATTGTCTAAATTTGAAAAACTATACAACTTACACGTTGATAACCATGACGGACTTCCAGACCTTTTTCAGTAGCTTCTTTTAACCATTCCGAAATCCATTTTTCAAACAACGGATTTGGTGTTTTGCGGGTTTTACTTTTTGCTGTCCTTTGTGACATTTTAAATAATTACAATTCGTTGGTGGAAATCTTTTACTCAAACTGAAATTTAAATTAGAATAAATAAACAATAATTAGTAGTATACATTTTGATGAAATAATGAGGTTATATAATTTTCAAAAAACGAAAATATTATGAAAGAAAACAATTGGAAAAATACCGCAATTTAATAGTGAACAATTCAAAAATTTAATAAGGAAAATGCATCTATAGTCATTGGTCTAATTTATTGTCCTATTTGGTTTTATCATAAACTTGATAAGTGATAACCGCTACGACAACACAGTGCAACCAATCGTACTCTGATTGGCATCGGGCAGTAAATGAAATTGCATTTATCCTGTGATACCACGATGTAGAGAGACCGCTTCTGTATCTTTTAATGTTTATTGTCGTAAAAAATCACGGCAGTTTGGTGGACGGTAGTTCACAATTTATCACCATTCGGCATTCACCTGAGTACACCGTTAGCGGGTAGGTCGTAATGGAGATTTACATTTAAATGTTATTTAAGTGTATTAATTGTTGTTCAAATTTCAATAATCTGCTTACCAATATTGTATATTTTATGTTGTATTGTACAGATTATTAAAATAATTCAGTGTTTTGGAATCATAATTATCTACCAATTATTACGTAAAAATTGTATCAATATTACATTGCATATAGCCTGCTTATCGTACAAATTGATTTATTTAAATAAAATGTATATTTTTTTCATTATTTAACTTTAAAATGTTTCAGCGCACTGGGTGCTATTACAAGTATTATTTTTTTTTTTTTTTTAACAATGGGTTGGATTATACAAAGTACATGATTTTTTACATTGATACAGTTGAGTAAAATTATAGATATACATATATAGTGTAAGTGTGTTTTTTTATGGGTCTTCTGATGAATCTTCGCTATCCGCGAGGAGGATGTCCTGGGGGAGTCGAGGTCGCAGACGTCTGTTTTGTGTTTTTTTTCCTAGGTTGTAGTGACGGGCTCCGTCCGAATTTTTTAGATTGGCGTGAAAGTTTTGGAATTGAGTCATTATCCATTTGTTAATGAAGGGTATACCCGTATCGTTGTGGATTTGAGTGTTTCTCATGAACCACGGAGCTTTGAGGCAAATCCTCAAAAATTTGTTTTGTAAGATTTGTAACTTTTTTATTTTTGTGGGTGACGCGGCTGCCCAAACAGGACGGGCGTAGGTTATCAAAGGCTTTATTATTGATGTGTACAGAAGGAGTGACGATTTTATCTGGAGTGTAGATTTAAAATTTATTAAGGGGTAGAGCATTCTCATTCTAGCATAGCCCTGTGTGAGTTTTTTATTTATGTGGATGTTCCATGAGAGTTTTTTATCGAGGAAAACACCAAGATATTTTATCGAGTCGTCTTTTCTGTTCCACTGTAAGGCATGGTTGTTAATGTAGATGCTTTTAGGATCATTGTACCTTTTTAGGGTGAATATTTTAGTCGGGTTGAGCCGTTGAGGTTCAGCTTCCATTTATGGAACCAGGAAGTGATTTCATTCAATGAGGATTGAAGTTTTTGTATCGATGAGTCTATAGAGCTGTCTTGTGTAAGGATTGTCGTATCATCAGCGAACATTGCTAGTTGAGAGTTGGAAGGATTGTGAATATCGTAGCAGTAGATATTGAAGAGGGTTGGCCCCAAGACTGATCCTTGTGGGACACCAGATTTTATTTTAGGTCTATGTCTATTCTAACTTGGAAAGTTCTGTCTGATATGAATGGTGTGATGGTTTTAAATAGGTACGCTGGGAGATCTAGTGCTTTTCGCTTTTTTTCTAGTCCTTTATGCCAAACCTTGTCGAAGGCCTGGGTTAGATCTAAGAAGACTGCAGTTGTGAATTGTTTGTTTTCAAACCCGTGTACTATTATTTCTGATATGCGTTGTAACTGGTGGCATGTAGAATGTTGTGTTTTGAAGCCAAACTGATGTTTGGGGATTATGTGTAGGTAGGGTTTTATCCTTTTCAGCAGGATCCTTTCGTATACCTTGGATAGTGTTGGTAAGAGGCTGATAGGTCTGTAGCTTAAGGGAGAGTTGGCTGACTTTCCAGGCTTATGAATAGGGACTACATTATATAATGTATATTTATTGCATGATATTATATGTTCATTTATTAACTGATACATATACGTACAAAAAATGAATTAGTAATATCTACAAACAATAGGTACAACTGTTGAACTGTATGAAGGTACTAGTTTTAACTGTTAACAAATGCTCAAATAAACGGCTACCTCGCTACCTACCTACTGACCCAAGAACACCTGAATAAAAAAATCATAATTGCAAATACATTAGCTAAAAATATTATTACATTTTATATAAAACCTAGAATGTATTTTTTACAAGATGCTGAGAACGCCACTAGAGAGAAAAAAAAATTTAGCTAAGCAGTCTAAACTGATAAAACCGTGTAACATAGGTAGGTAACATAGTTATTAAAATATAAAATTAACTTCCTTAATTGAAACTATTTTTAACTGTACCTATTTGAATAATAACTTAAAAATAATTCTTGCTTGGCTACAATTTTTAATTTTTAATTTTTAAGTATGAAAAACTACAAATATGTGTAAACATTTTGATATTTTACATTAAAAACAAAGTATTCACAATATAAAAAACCGCTACCGGTACGAGACATTTGTACCTACTACCAAACTGTCGAGAAAATTTGCGACCGGAATGTGTACCAGCGCGGTGTCACCTTATTTTATCTACATTGTATCAATACGAAAATACTTCTTTCCAATTTCGGCGCTAATTGTTTGATTCTGATTTCTTATTGGACTATCAGAGTGATAATTAGTATTTGGTTTTACCATCCTGTGTTTTTTTTTGTCGTTACACCACATGTACCTATCTAGTCGAAATATGCTTCGATTTTCAACTTCACTATCAGATAGATTTAATGCTCACTGCTCAGTAAGAAGATTTAAAAATTTAAAAAGAAATCCAAACTGAAATATTAAGTTAAAACATGTTTTTGATAAAATTAGTTTTTGTTGTTGCAATTTAAAAATGAATACCTAACCATAAAGATTTGAAATGTTCATCAAATAATAGATAACAGACCTATAGACAATTTCATAAGGAACTCCTCTAATCTTCAATAGAGTATTGTACTCTGTTCAATACATTCATCATAAATAATATTATACATACATTACTCACTGAATTACATTTAATTAATTAACAATAATGATTCTAAACCGCACTCATCAATTAAAATATTGATACCTAGTCATAGTCAATAATCAAAGTAAAATTATGTAACCTTTTTTTTTATTTTATCTTTTTTTCTGTGATTTGTATTCTTTGATCAAAAAGAGTGCTCCACAATAACGTTTCCTTGGTACCTAGTCTATATAGTAAAATTGGACATTGGTGCATTGTGCCCACTGCAGGAAATCTTGAAATATTATAGAACTATTATCTAATAGGTTTAGAGAACAGGAAAGTATTCAAGAAATGGATGAATTATTTATTTTAAAGAGTGGTTTTAACAGAATTATGATGACAATCATTTTTTCGATGAAACTTTATAACACATCGACTAAGTTTTAATAAACATTTAAATAAGTATATATTACAGCATTACGCCTTGTATGGCCTATAGATGCAGTACTACAATTTATTATATTACGCCTACCCATAACCCATTACCCATGGGCTACGAGTCTAGCTACGATAGTATACGACCTATACCGGCAATACCTTTACCAACTTGCTCTTATCAATTATGTATAATTGTTTAAATATTAAGTAATTACATACTGTCATACTATAATAAATATTAAATACTTAATCAGACTGTAATATTCGTGTCAGGGTACTACTACTAATATTTACTTTAAATCAATAAAAGTATTTTTTTATTTTTGTTGATTAAAAAGTATAAAATTAATAAGTGGTGTATTCAAATTCTAAAAATATTAGAAAGTTCAAAATAATAATTGTACTTACTCTTCAATAGATTATTTTAACTACTTATTGGCTTATAATACACGTGTCTGACTATCCCAATATTTTATAACAGCCGTAACTCATATAATAAATAATAATAATCAAAATTCTAACTACCTACATTCAACAACTTTTGACATTAATATCTCTTATGCCTGGGGGGTAAAAAAAAATGGTGAAACAATTAGTATTTCATTGAACAATAATTATAGGTACATACATTCAACTGTACCAATACCAGTTAGTTTAACTTAATATTATATAAACTCAATATGGTAGTTGTATACTATAATAGTTTGGTGAAACATGAAATAACCTGATAGGCAACTATAATTATCAATCGTAGAAAAACATTTTTGCTTTTCAAATAATTCAAATAATAACAATTCGAAAATAGTTTCTACGCATTATTTGATGACTGCGAATAGTTCATTGAATAATATTACTCTATGGAATAGATACCATATTGATATATTATATTATTGTGTACATATAAATATATATTATTAAAATAAAAGAATATTAAATTATCTTTATTCTAGGTTGTACCATCTATACCTATGTGTTAAATGTTTCCAACGATTTCCTAATATTAATGAAATAATAAATAATACAATATTGTTCTACTATAATATAATAGTTTCCTATAGATTAGTTATGAATATAAAGTACAAGATCATGAGGTTTTTTATGCGGTTCATAGGTAATTTCCTGTATATATTAATACACCGATATATATTTTTTTTGTAATTTTTAACACACCAATATTTTCTAACACCATGCCATAATTGTAAGTAAATCGATTAGAAATTACATTACTTTAAAATTAAAAATATAATACTTTGTGCATTAAATATTACTATTATTACTAATGATTCTTACATAAATATTGTCCAATTCATAATGAACATTTATTTTTTATGAGATATATAGGTATTATTGTTTCGACAAGCAGATTGTACAATATAATGTAATATATATTATGTACACATGTAATGTATTATTTACACCTGCATTGCCGTTATTTGTTAACTACAGAAAACACTAAATATAGGTCATCGAAATATCAAATATCATATTACTCATTTATCGTAGATATATTATAATTTATAAATTATAAAATGCATACTTATTATTAATTAATAAGTTGGAAGTAAGTAATATAACTAATGAGTAATAATAATTGTATTATTGTGAATTATTAATAAATATTTATATGTGTATTCGAACGTAATATAATTCTTTAATGTGTTAACTTCTAACTTGTAAGTGAATAATAATCCTACAAATCACTTAGAGAGAACATAAGATCAACTCTAAGATATAAAACCTATGCAAAGTTCTTTAAATTATAAATTGTTTGATAAAATGTATATGAAAATCTTTTTAGGCAAATATAATAAGGCATTTTTTAAAAAATGTTTCTTTAAAATTGTATATTATAGAGTTTAATTAATTAGATTAATTATTATTTATTACATAAAATGTCTATAAAAGATTTTAACATTTTTTAAATGAAAATTAGACACTGAAATATTATTAGAATATCACTTATGCCATCACTATAACTTTTGAAAAGTCCTATACCTACTAGGTGTCTAGGTTTATGCCCTATAGTCAAACCTAAAGGTTTATAAGTTATAAAATAAATACGTTTATGTTTTTCGAAGCACCTTAATTTTATTAAATAATTTAAACTTTATTATAACACGTGTATTATTGTTTATTGCATCACCTATTTGAATTTATTACGTAATTATTATTTTTTTTATAGTATATATGGGGAATATTTTCAAGTAATGATGTGACAATACAACCACTATTTTTCTACATAAAATATTATATTCTATATATTTTTTTAAATACAGATGCTGAAGATCTGGCAGTTAAAAGTACCAGTTATCCACGGAGTTCACTAAGGAAATCTTTCTTTAAGTTTACTATAATATTCTTCATAAGTTTCACATATACTAACTAAAAATATTGAGAATACAGTCACATTACATAATATTAATATATACATTATTCACCTAGAGATAAATATAGTTTTTTTTAAATTTTGATGTCGTGGATAAAAATGAATGACAAAAAATATCGGTTAGGTTAAGTTATTTTGTTGAAATAAAAAATAATATAAATCGTAGGCAACGTCTCCTGTAAAGAGTAAGCCATAGACACATATTGGTAAGTAGAAGTGATTTAATGACCTATGAATTATAGAATATTAGAATCAAGGAAGCGTTATTCTGTAATGTGGAAATGTAATATAGCGCTCATTTAGAAGTTACCCAAGTACCTATAAATATTGTATGACTAAATGAATATTATGAATCATACATTATATAGGCACTTCCGAGGTTCTGTATTATACCTTGATCTTTTCGAATATTATTGTTAATGGGTACTCGACATTCATATTTTATTTTATTATATTATATTAGTATATCCCGATTAGATATAAAATTATACTAATATTCATAATTTATTATTGAATAATAATATGTTAACGTTAAGGCTAAATATTATAAAGTAAACAATCAATCAATAATCAATATGCCTATATAGTATAATGTATAATACACTTATAAACCTATAAAACTATTCCCTAACGGTTTCATCAATCAATAGATAATACTGATAATAGATTTATACTTATTTGTTTGTTTTATTTAATTCTCCCCACGCAGAGAAATATATAAAGCCTCGTCAAGGAAAACTCTGTGGTATACGGATATTACAATTAAATGAAGTGCATATACAACTATACCTATAGGTGCTTACTACTAATTATAACAGTATTAACAAAATTAATATGTATTAAAATAATATTTTTAATATCATTTACCATATTAGGTGTGTACCTATCTAATATTAAATATATATTATTATAACAATGTAATTTAATTTAGAGTTCAGTAATATACAATAATTTATTTATTTATTAATTAAATACGGGCTTGGGCACTTGGCCCAAGGTAGGTACAGTACTAGATTTTTACAAATAGTATGAGTTCTGGATTTCAGTAGAAGTGAGACGGAAATAGGTAACCAGATTACAATAGAAATAAAGTGTGGGTGTTGCCTTGATGACGTCTTAATAGGTGTATAGATATTATAATATTATACTAAAAACAATCAGAAAAGAGCCTAGTTTAAGTAATTTTAAGAGGACGCCAAAGTTGTTGTTTTAGTTGTCTCACAAGTTGTCTTAGCATATACATCTATGTTCAGTAATCCACGTTTAGTTTAGATTTGTTAATTTTAATATTCGGATAAATTGACCTATACATTCATTAAATTTTAAAATAACGGTATTGTCAGCGTTCTATTGGGTTTTTCTCGATGATTCAACTTAAAAACGAGTAATAAGTAGACGTGTAAAATTACAATTTAAAAATGTTCATATAAATACTAAAAACCTATATACTAGCATCAAAATTAAAACATCGAAAAAACTACTACAATTTACAAACCACAGACAATATTTATATTACTAATTACTATAATATGATAAGATATAGATCGATTTATTCTAATATATATTAATTAATGACACTAAACGTGAAATTCTGAACTTAAATTTACCACTTTTATTACTTGGAAGACGGAGAAAAATGATTTATTAATGTGGGTATAGACGTATAGTTCTATAGAGTATAGCGTAATCACTTCATCAGAGGCATCAAATTTGAAGTAGATACCTATAGTCATTAAAAAAAATTTAAAAATAATGAAATCTGGACAGTTTTTTGGCTTAATCAATAAAGTGCTGCTTGACGTCAGCAATATGTAATTACGTAGGTATAGATATTCCGAGTCAATGAATCTTCTCCAACAAACACGTTTTTCAATTACATTTTAAAGATAAAAATGTACGATTTATTCTATATATTTTAACGACGTTGCTGCAGAATCATGTTTATTATTATTTTTCGTAAATGCCAATTGGCAATATTATAATACAATACATAATTGAATAATTCATAATTCATAATGATGCGCTATAAATTATAATGATTATTGATTGTATATGTACCTATACACATTATATTATGATAATAAATAATATTATATATAGCATTATACTCAATATAGCATAATATTTATTTGTTAATTGTATTGTTATAAATACTCTCTGGGAACTAACACTTCAAAAACGTAAAAACAAATTTATAAAATCAGAACAATGCGTCGTGGATCTCTATTATACCCAGAGAAACTTAAATACAAATGTCAAATATTAATCATTAATAATAACTACCTAATAATTAGTATAAATAATAATAATATAATAATATAAATCATAATAATACATAATAATTTATTATCTATTGATTATCATAATTGTTCTCTGCGTATTTCTGTAGCGGCTACAACAAGAAGATGGCTATTTAAAACGTCCAATATAAGTACATACCATTTTTTTGTAAAAAATTGTGTGACTAACGTAGAAAAAATTCGTAGTTATATATTATTATTTGGCTGTGGCTGGGTAAGTGCCATAGCGTATATTAATATATATTATTATATTACTCTATTATAGTGCCACCACGAAAAACCTGTTCGGGGGTTTGGTACACTTGTTTGATAAGGTGCGTCACAATCGCAGCTTGCTGATAAGCGAACGTCCAACTCAGCCGCGGCAGTGTTGTTATGCACTATTGCACTATTGCACTACTGCAGTGGCAGTGTTTAGTCAGTGTTGGTGTTGTGCTTATTAAAATTATTGTTAGTCGTTACATATTATATAGTTGTTACGATTTCTTTTTTATCGCCACAGCAGTATTATCTGCTACCGTTCCTATAGTCAATACTGGCAGGTCCATTTGACATTTAGTTTTAGTATTCGTCGATCGTCCGTTCCGTTTGTTAACATGTCTGCGGTGCGCGCGTGACACGACGGTGTATTGCGAGTCGTTGTCGGTGTTTACGTACGTGCGTGTGTGTGCCTTGAATACCTATTTTCGTTTATGTGAATCGGTCGATCATGTTGGGCTGGCTGAGGAAAGATGACGGTAAGAAGATCGAGACGTACGAGTCTGTCCTGGACGGGCTACGGGAGAAGTACAAGTCCAAACTGTTGCCCCTGGAATTGGCCTACCAGTTTCATGATTTCCACTCTCCGCAGCTGGACGACCCTGACTTTGACGCCAAGCCGATGATACTACTGGTCGGCCAGTATTCCACGGGAAAAACTACGTTCATCAAACACCTCCTAGAATCTGATTTTCCAGGCATTCGCATTGGGCCCGAACCCACTACTGACCGTTTCATAGCAGTAATGTATGATGACAATGAATCGATTATTCCAGGCAACGCGTTGGTAGTAGACCCAAAACGACAATTCAGACCTCTGTCAAAATTCGGCAACGCATTCCTCAATCGGTTTCAGTGTTCTTTAGTGAACTCGCCTGTCCTAAAGGGTATCTCAATAGTTGATACCCCTGGTATTCTATCAGGAGAAAAACAGAGAGTTGACAGAGGTTATGACTTCACCGGTGTATTAGAGTGGTTTGCTGAGCATGTGGATAGAATTATTTTGCTTTTTGATGCTCACAAGTTGGACATATCGGACGAATTCCGTAGATCAATAGAAGCACTACGAGGTCACGATGATAAAATTAGAATTATTTTAAATAAAGCTGATATGATTGATCACCAACAATTGATGCGTGTTTACGGAGCACTGATGTGGTCCTTGGGAAAAGTTCTTCAAACTCCCGAAGTAGCCAGGGTTTACATTGGATCTTTTTGGGACAAACCATTACGATATGATGGTAACAGAAGGTAATAAATAAGCATAGTGTTACACAATTTAATTAATCATTCATAAATAATATTTTGAACAATTTGGTATAAACTATAATTACATGGATAAAACGTATGAGTTGTGATATCTATTGAAATCAAACTAGGTATGCACTTTGTTGTCCCCAACCTCCCTCCCTTTTTGTTGCCTAATTTTAATTATTTGTATGACTACCTAAATAATAATATGCCAATATCTATTTAGTATACCTAACTAAACAATAGAAAATTAATACAATATAGGTACCTATCTGTGAATAATATTATGCTTGGTCTCGTGCTTGGTACATATTATTATGTTATGAAATCATACAATTAATTACTTATTTAATTTTTTTAATTGAATTAAATGTGTGTAAAGTTCAACGTAGATTTATTTAAGTTGCCTTTGTTTATATTTTAACAATGCACCTAAATGATTGATTAGCACAATTAGATTTTTTTGAAGTTAATCATATTGTTTACAAAATAAATAAACTTTATAAATTAAATTCTTCAGCCACAGCAATTGGAGTGCTCTTGTGGGTTTAGTGCAACTGATGCTAATTAGACCAATAAAACTAGATCGGGTATTAACCATTAAGTTTAAGACAATTGACTAACCAATTATATTTACATTATAACAATTGGCTATGAGTTGTTCCAGTTTCTAATGATTAGAGATCCATTTTATATTTATATATATATATACACCTAGATATTGTTATTTTCTTTATGCCTAAGTAGATAAACAAGGTTAGTGGGTCAATACTTTCAAGACCATACTATTCGCTGTAACAAATGTTTTGACAATATACAATTGTACAAACAATATTATGAATATAATAATTTATTTAATTGAAATGTAGTTGTAGCAATCCAATTGAAGTTCTGTAGTGAATTTTAGAAATGCGACTAATTTCAAGAAAAATGTGACTTTTTTTTAGTTATTTTATATTTTATTGATCAATAATTCAAATTAAAAATTATCATAATTTATTCATTTAATTTATTAACATTGGTGTACAAATATCTAAATAGACTAAAGGTTTTCAGTGAGTATAATGGGTACCTACGTTATTACACACCTAGGTATTTATTTAAAAAAATAATAACATATTTATGTCATTACATATCTACTTGTAAAATTTATAATTATAAGATATCCAAAATTTGTAAAACCTTTCATTTAATAAAATGGGATTCAAAAGTTAGATGCTAGTGTAGATGGCTTAAAATTAAAATTATTGTTTGCTAGTTTTTATTAGGCAGATAGATCTATCTAAAATAATTTATTGAATTCCATAAGACTTTAAACTTTTGTCTTTTATAAATTAAGTTAAATTTTATAGGAACAAATTAATATGAAGTAGATAAACATACGAACATATGAAGTACCTACGTAGATATTATCAGTACCAACTGGTTAATAATCAATAAGACAAAAATATTCACATTCTTTCTTATTTCAATTTATATTTTTATATTATATTTACTAAAAATTAATACTTTAACACAGTTAACGTTTTCAAGTGTACAACGAGAGGATAAATAGATAAATTGCTGTCACGCCCATGCAAGTTATTTTAAAAGCATAATTTAAGCACAATGCACGTCAGTTTGTAATTTTCGTAATTATTTGTTGCATTTGAATACTTTTAATTTCAGGGTTAGAAACATCCATTGAAACACTTTCAAATGAAATAATAATGATATAGTATTTATTATATTAAATATATGTACCTATGATAATATAATGTTTGAACAGAAGAGCAAGGCGTGTGTTTATGTAACTACATCACAAGCAGGAGCTTGAGTTTAAACACTCACGTTATTTAATACCGACGAAACAGACCATTAAAATTATTTTACGCCAACGATATCATATTTTATCTAATATGCACATCTGCAATCTGCTTGTAAATAATATGATTGGGGATACGACATTAGTATAGTTTAATAGTTAATAAATATTTAACTATAGGTACCTACCTATAATCTATATTATATTATACTACCTATATTTTAAAACGTTAAAAAGAAAGCGATTCTGAATGGAGCTTGTAGTAGTGTAGTAGCCCGTGTAGTATTTACTACGCGAGTTTTTTAACAGTCGTAATTTCTTTTCCTTATAACGTAGATAGTTATAGCACTACTAGTTGGTAGTTACAACTTAACAAGTAAGGCCAATGACAAGATCTCCAATTCATAAAATATATACATACAACAGACCTCATTCGTACTCTATTGTCACGTCGAAGCATTTATATTTACTATAAACTCAAAATTCCCAAGAAACAATTAACTTAACGTAGTTCTTGTGTTTCTATTCTTTTTATGTATCGGAGCAATATAACATAGTTTTGATCGTGCATTCAAAGTTTGAAATACTAAGTATAAATTATTAAATACATTAATCATTAATTACAAAATTAAACTATCGTTAAGAGGACGCTACCAATATATTTTTAATTTCCGTCTTACACACATACGGCAAAGCAAATTTTCGTTCACTAGTTTCAATAGTGTAATGCGAGGTGTTATGTTAGTTTGGTATTATGATATTTTAATTTTCAAGATAGATTTGTGCATGTGAAATATCACAAATTAAAAAAGCTCATATCTCGTTTGATAATTAAAATATCGTATAAAAGCCGACGCACAGGCGATGCTCTTACTTAAAAATTTGATGATAGGTAAATTCACTCTTATGTCATAAACTCATAAATAACATCACATAATTGAAACTAGTGAACGACCATTTGTAATGAATGGGTAGCGTCCTCTTTAAGTAAAATTGAGAATTTAACTTGTTTAAATCTTTTGGGACTCAGAAAATGTTGTGCCAACAGTTTTTACATACTTTTCTGTCTTGTAATAACACAACTTAAAAAATTTGTATTTATTAAAATGAATGTGTCGGTACCTATTATTCTATCATTTTTATCGATTGATCATTCCTAATCATAATAGTTATGCGCATAAATTATGAAATAAAATAAACTGAGTGGTATATTATATAGATCAATTCGGATTAATTATGTAATTCAGAAAATTCTTCATTAAACTGATATTATTTTTTTATAAGATATAATTATTTTAATCCTTGGTGCTAGTTATTAGGGTTATATTTTTTACATTTAACCTATAATAACGCTTATCTGTGTAAACGTTGTCAAACCCTATTTTTTTTATTCTTATCTAATAAAAATATTTATTTTGACTGTTAATTTTGTCAAATGCTACATTTTTTGGTTAACTTATACGTTTCTTATCTATCTGCATATTTGCCATTTAGTGATTCTTAACAGTAATTATTATATATATTACCTATATATATACCTAACAAAATCAAATCGTTTTTCTAATTTTTCTTACATAATTTGAAATCAAAACAAAATAACATTTATGAAATAAATTTATGTTTTTTTTACAATGTTTTTAAGTTTACTTTTACTAATGACAGCATACATTTCATTTTCTGAAACTTCAACTATTTTCTTAGAATTGTGGACTAGTTAATTAGTTATAAGTTTATAACCTAAAGTTTTAAGTATTTACAGTTTAGGTGAATAAAATATTTGAACGTGTACCAATATTTTGTGGGGTACCGGGATAATTCTGTGCCACTTCACTCCTCAACTCGAGCCTGTGACTTTAAAGTTTAAATACTTTTGTTCTAGCTTTATAAGTTATAACTAATTATCTACACGTACAAAATTTGATATTTACAATTTATATAAATTATTTTATTATAATATATTACATTAAAATTGTAAAATGAAGGCGTATACAACACCGTATGGTATGCCGTATGCCTGTAAACTTTAAAATTATGTCGATTTAATAATACAATTGTATACACAAACATTGGTAAAATAACAATTAAACACTTTGTTGTCCGTTAAACTACAACGTATCAAATTGGCATGCAAATTGTAATTGGGTCGATCAATGTATGCAAACGTTTGAACTTCCTGGTATTGGTACTATTATTTTAGTAATGTGCAGGTTCAAATAACGTGCTAATAACATAATTCGTAAAGTCACTTATAAGTTATAATATTCATTCGGGAAAAAAGCACGGTGAACTGCTAATATCAGACTTCAGCCAATGCAATTTATATTGATTCAACTTTGTGATACAACTTAGACTGTTACAATAATAATATTCATATAATTGACATTGATGGATATACTCACTCGTAGAACTATAGAAAAGTGACTAATGGTATATTTTTTTTTGCTCGCCGGATTGAACCTGATAATCTATTACATACGCGTATACCTATGTGTAAATAAGTGTAATTAAACGCAATTATTATAACCAATTTATAGAGCTGCATACAACTGCGACAATGCGACATAATATGTAGCTCATAAGTGGCCATAATATTCACTATAGTCTATAATAATATTTGAAAGTTTGAAGGCGGAAAACGATTAACCAAACCATCACAACAAGCTTGATATTCATTCGGTTATAATATGACACCAATCCAAAATGTATAAAATTCAAGATAATATTTTCATAGATAAATAGATAGTACAATTATTTTAAAGTTTAATTTTACAATTATTTTGTTTAATAATTTGTTTTGTTTACTCTGTAAATTATAAAATTAAGCGTGAATAGACCTGTTATAAAATGTAAAGATAAGATTATTTACTTAGGGCATCTCGGGAGGCATTTTCATCTCAATTGACATTTTTATTAAGAAGCAAGTTATGACCTTTTACATTTTACAATGAGTCAATTCACTCTAATTTGAAAAATAACCGAGTGTAATGGATTATTGTTTCCGTACAATTTGCTATGCTGTACGTTTGTACAACGGAGATAGGCACATCAGGTACCAAGTCTTCTTAACTAGGAAAGCAAGTTGGTTTCATAAATTTTTTTAACTTCGTTTAGAAAACAATATAGTAGTTAGCAAGAAGATAATGATTGGTTTCATAAGAAATTTGTTGTTTACAATCTACAATACCTATATGCACAATTAAGATCATTGAATATAGATACCTAATATATTCTGATTTTATAAAAGTAAATCTCTGAAATGCTAATTTAAAAATATAAACTTCGATAATAGACAAAGTTGCACCACTATAAATACAGCTCGTTCTTGGATCTTTGATCTTAGATTTGAATTGTATATTTTAATATAATATATTATTATATCTATGCATACCTTTGTATATATTTGTGGGATACGATGTAAATTAAACGGCGCCCGTCATTTACGGTGTAATTATTGAAAACTTGTATTATAGTTACGGGAGTGGTGGTCGGTCGCTGAGCGCAGGTACCCAAGTATATTATTATTTCTATAAGCCTCGCCTAGGGTGGTATTTTTTTGAATTATGTTATACATAGGGTTGTACATGAGGAAAACAAATTTGTGATTGTAGCTCACTTGTTTTTAACCTTTTATGAACGTAACATTACAAAAATTCATAATAACAACAAACATAATATTTTTAATTTGTTAACATTATATGTAATATGTACCTATAAAATCCAAATACCACTTAGTCACTGATCGCTGTAACTCAAAAACGACGCAACGTAAGAACTTGAAATTTGGAATTGGGGTTCTTCTCAAATTTTCACCATGCAATAAGAAAGGATTTCAAAAAAGTTGCGTTTTAGTGGAGTAATTAACGATTATAATAATTCACCGCCAATACGTATTGTGCTGTACGATACAGACTCATGGCGTGCGGGTTTCCAGCTACCTGCAACCTATCCTTTTTGTCCGTCGTGTAGATAAGAATAAATTGTTCCGAGAAATTATAGGGATAAATTGTAAATATGAAAAAAAATCAACTACACATGTGCGAAGCCGGGTAATTCAGCTAGTTTAGATTATATTATAGCCTAACAGATGATGTGTGTAAATGAGGAGGATTATCTGTTAGATACAGCATCCAGAATCAGTTGACAGCGAATTTTTTGTCCGGAAATCATTTTATTAATTTTCCGAAAGTATTTACTATTTGTTCATGCTTTATTGCTGCAGTGTGTATTCCAATACCTATTAATATTATTATAATTGTATGTTTAATATAATGATTTTGGGTTGTGTTTATGATAAATCTGAAAGACTGCAGAGGCAGACTATTGTAACCATTTAACATGTTTAGCCAATAATAATAGAGTACCACGTAATACTTCTATTATAATGTATATTCAAAGAAATGTTTGTATTTTTTATCGCATCTATAAAAATTCATCGAAATTATAAATAATTGTAACGCAATTCATACGTATTTTTTATGTAAGTCATTTTCATTACAGCCGTATTAAATACACGCATAATTTACAATATTCGCAATTTAAATTTTATTTACTTATAGACTATAGTAATAGTCGCTTTATTTGAACTTGGTAATATTTTTTTTCTCGTGTTGTTTTTATAGTCCACCCGTTAGTAACAATTATTGATGCATTATTGTACTCTTTTTAGATTTGAGGTAAACTGCACTCCACTGGGTACATTTCTGTGACACGAAAAATCTATGATTAAAAACTTTTCCTCATAGCATATCATAGCATATCTATTGAACATTATTATTCACCCACTGTTAAATGTTTGCTGTAGGTAAAATATTTTTGAAGATAATATTGATGCAATTGGTATCGAATTTTACCTTGTATTTCACTGTATCGTTTTTTACTTGACATTTTTTCTTGGATCCGAGCATAACATACCAGGGAAATAAAATATGAAATAATTGGTCCCGATTACCAACCAGAAAATGTTATCAGATTTCTTAGGAGAACCGAATTAGACATATTATAATTAATACCTACAATTAGTTCTACACTATTCTTCAGTTTTAAAGCACAATTTATTCAAAACCCACATATTTATCATTTGATTTCCCTCTTACATTATTTTATATTTACTTAAAATATCATAACAAACTATTGCCGAAGCTTGAGACTAATAAAATATTAATTATAAATATACCTACCTAAAAACATTTTTTTTTTTTTTTAATATAAAAATTAATTAGTGTAGCTACTATATGGCTTGTTTGGCTTATTTCAAAAACAATCATTGTTTAGTGAATTTTACTGACGTGTTCTTTGGATAGTTAAAATCGTAAACGTATCGAATTGTGAAAAACAATATAATAATGAAAGTAGGACATATGGTAGGACGGGTGGAAATGTCCTATATAATTGGGGGACAAGAATGTCCCAAATACCGTTTATGGCCTGTATCTAACAATTTAACTACACCGTACTGGGAGCATAACACTGAGAGCTCATTGCACAATACTTCAAAGTTTTTTGCTATTATTTGAAATTTTAAATCAAACGCTTATTTATTAGGTATTACAGTACTTATAAATAATGCTTTGAACTTGGCTACTCATCGTATCTATATAATATACTTGTTTATGTAAAATTAATATCATAGTCGGTCGATTAATAATATGTATGGATTTTATGTACTTACAGAATTAATATAATATAATAGCCTAGAGGCTATGTACTTTTATTTTTCACTAAACAAAAAGGACCGGGTGAAATCGATAAAATTATACTCGCCACTCTTTACTACTTTTGTTGATAGGCATTCGGTGCGACTTTTTTTAGAAAATAGGTTTTTAATCTTAAATGTGCAAATGCCACACCGGATATAAGTATATGATAGTAAGCTGTTTTGTATATTTTAGATTATTTGAAGACGAAGAACAAGACTTGTTCAAGGACCTGCAGTCTTTACCGGGAAACGCGGCGTTAAGGAAACTAAACGACTTGATAAAACGTGCGAGATTGGCTAAAGTAATTATTGCTATTGATGGACCACGAACGTCGTCGTGCACTATTGAAATCCGAAATGTGGCGCATGTCACTAGCATTAATTGTATTGTTCCGTGTTGTTTACAGGTTCACGCTTACATAATCAGCGCGTTACATAAAGAAATGCCGGCTCTTTTCAGGAGAGACGGCAAGAAAAAAGAATTGATCAAAAACCTTGGCACTATTTACCAAAATATCCAGAAAGAACAACAGATTTCACCAGGAGATTTTCCCGATCTCAAAAAAATGCAGGTTTGTAAGAATATTATTTATTTCTGTATTGGGTATATTGTTTCGTTTACGTATTATAATATCTTATAGGTACCTATATTATTTTTAACGATTCCTGTCGCATATTTTATTGACTAATCGACTTGCAATGGTGTTTTTCAGGACGTACTGGTGAACTTAGATTTTAGTAAATTCCAAAGTCTTAAACCACATCTGTTAGAAGAGGTCGATAAGATGCTTGCCAACGATATCGCTAAATTGATGGCTATGATCCCTTTGCAGGACATGCATAACCGTAAGATGAATAACGGAGACGCCGAACAACAGCAGCAACAGCAGGCGGTAGTCAAAGGTATTTCTTTTTTGATTTTTTCACGTTTTCATGTCTAGTAATATAATGCGCGAGGAAACATCCAATAAACACTCTAATTTAGTACACTCAATTTCATAAAATGATTTAGTATTTATTAGATAGATATAGTTTAAAAATATCAATGCTATAAAGTCTTGAAAAACGTATTAATTATTAAAAAAATTGATAATAATATAACATTTCAGCGGTTTTATTGATTCAATTTCGACTATATTATATAGCCTACAAGGTTCTTTTGATTAACAATACAAAATATTGATATTTTTAATTGTATAATAAATGTTCAACTGTTTAGCTCAAAACCATTTTTTTTTAATAAATAGTCACGTTGACTTTGATTTTGATTTGTATAATATATATTATTATGCGTACATATTTTTGTTAAACGTTCTATTTTACCAATAATTACTATATAATTTATTCACGTCGCATGAACTACTTATAAGTAATTCGTTAGCTAAATTTCATTAGATTAACAATTTATACTGCTTACAATATATACCTACACAAAATGTTATTTTTTTTAGCTATTTTTGGTTATATTTTAATTTTAATTTTTTCCCTTTCAAAATGTGGCAGGTGTTTAATAAAACCGTAGGTTGACTTTTTTTTAAATATTTGAAAGGTTAGTACTTTATTTTTTAATAATTTACATTTAACCCCCGCCCATACCTCATATTTCGAGTTGGCAGTAAAAAGCTACAACATAGTAAATACTAATCTATAATCATAGTGGTCAGTGGTATGTTTCAACTATACTAATGCACGATGTGACCCGACAATAATATTGTCTTACTTATGTTAATGATTAACGATGACATTCGTGATTACTTTGTAGGTGGCGCATTTGTGAGCGTCCAGGACACCGCAAGCCCGTTCGGGTACAAGAGGGGAGAGGGTATCGACGCTGGCAAGGGCGAAACTGGTTGGGTAGTGGCCAAAGAGCGGCAAAAGTACGATGCGGTGTTCAACACGCTGGAGAAGTCTGACGGAAAACTATCCGGAGCGGGTATGAAATTGTATATCATATTATATGCTATATGGCTGTGAATTTAATCTTATAAAAATTCATTTAAAAAATATATTTGGAATTTACAGTTGTTTTTCATAAAATAGGTGGGTACTTAAAAAAATGAACCAAGTATCCACCTACCTATACAACTAATTAAAAATATTAACAACTAAAAAATGTACAGTTATGAATGTTAAAAGTTGTATAGTTCGATTATCAAGTCTCATCTAATCTTTAACCTCCTCGTCACAGTAAAGACGATTATTTTTTATGTAAGAGAGCGTTTGATGATCTAACCAAGTTTTTGTCATTATTTTTGCAGTGGCCAAAGCCGAAATGGTCAAATCGAAACTGCCCAACTCAGTCCTGGGCAAAATATGGAAGTTGTCAGACATCGATCACGACGGTTTTCTGGACATGGATGAGTTCGCGTTGGCAATGCATCTGATACAAGTGAAGCTGGGCGGGCACGATTTGCCCATCGAAATACCCGAACACTTAATTCCTCCTTCAAAAAGGGACGTTTAGCAATAGACAAAAATAAAAATAGGAATCCTATGTACATTATAATAATATATAGTAGACACAACACCAACACACAATAAAAATTGTACTCGACTGTACATCTAATATTATATATTACATATGCAATGCGATTTTTGTATACATATTAAATAATATGTATGTATCGTGTACGTTAATTTATTTGTATATTTATATAGTCAATTGAACGAAATACGTAGCACAGAACCCCCCCCCCATGCCAAGTCCATCAAACATTCGAGTACCTACGCTCCGTCGCTTCTAGGAGTTAAAATGAAATAATTAGGTTCACGTGTTATGATCATTGAATGGCGATCGAAGTTATTCAATACATAATATTTTAGATAATGTTTTTTTATATCATATATAATAATATTATACTACCTAAACTGTGTGATGAAAAAGTGTTGCTTTTTTGTTGTCATTATTTTTGCAGCATTTAATTTTTATATCGATTTCGCAGCAACCATGTGATATTTATTATTTATTATTATATATTTTATTATTATATACTTAAAACGAGAAGAAAACGTCTATTTTGTTCTATCATTGATAAATTATACGCTATTCTAATGTAGATCATACGATGTAAATTAAATTAATGTTTTGTAATACAAACAGACTTATATCGTCCAGTGTTTTTGCCCAAACAACATATTATATACGTGGTGTTAGCCGAGACCAATAATAATATATGATTTTTTTTATATATAAATATATATTGTAACAAGTAAACTACCACTATATGCCTAGTTAAATTATATTTTTATTGTATTTGATAAATATTTATGTAATTTATCTTAAAGAAATGTATTTATATTTCTTGTTACACGTGTTTTTTGATTTTTATTATATATTTTTGAAATTAAATGCTGTATTTATTAAAACAATATTTTTTGTAGTGGCTGAAGTCTTTGACGTGTGCTCAATATCACTGTCGAGAAGTTAGAATTCTTTTGCTGTCCCCCTGTAAAATGTATTTTAGAAGACTGTTTAAAAACCATCAACGTGCATTTACTATCTATATTATATTAACTTGTGAAGTGCGCCAAACCCTTTTAAGTTTGTCACTGTGATGAAAATAGTAAGGATTTTAATTGGCATACACAGCAAATGTTTTAAACAGCAGCTGACAAATATTTTTATGATCTCTTCAAAAATATGAATCAGGCGCGGATCTAGAACGTTAGGCCCCTTGGATCCGCGCCTGATATGAATAATATTGTTTTAAAGCCTGGGAAAGTTGGTCGAACGACACAATATCAGGAATAAGAACATACTTCGCTTGCTCATACGGTATGGTGAGCTATGTTGGCAAAGTGTAAGGTGTCAATGAAAATGGTCTGTGTAGTGGGGTGAATGTGCAAACTAGAACCAGTCTTAGTCCGCCTCCCAGTGCGTTCTTATTCTGGATTGAGTATAGTTAATTACTAATTTAGTAGCTTTACTAAGTTAATTTTAAGTTTTAAAAAAATTACCCATTCTTTAAAATTATTTATTAATTATTACACAAAATTCTATATAATTTTCAGAAATAAATAGCAATCCATTTAAATTACAACACTTATTTGCTAATCTAATCAATTTTTGAGTTTTTAAATAGTTTATAGCATTTATTTAAATGTAATGATTTATTTAATGTTTAAATGACAATCTACATTATTGACATTGTTATTGTTGCTTCAAACTATATAACAATTATTATATTTACATAATTTACACCAAAATTGATTGAAAAATAATGTTAACTTTAGTTGGATCACTGTATTGTTCCCAGATTTATATCAGAAGTTATTCAATGAGGACATCAACTTAATGAAAATAAGTTTCATTTTATTAATTTTTGTTAAAATGATTTTAAATTTTATTAGAAATAATGACATTTTACAATTGGTATCCTTACCAGCCCTCTTACACCATAGGAGTTTAATTATTAATATAAAACTAATAACACTATACTCCGCGCCACGAGAGAAGGAACCCGTTTCGCGCATGTAGACTGACGGCAGCTAGCGTTACTAGGCTAGGTGACTAGACGACGATATGTCAAATAAGTGGGGATGCGCGGAGTCGGTTGCAATTTGGTCGGGAAACGGGTTCCTTCTCTCGTGGCGCGGAGTATAATATGTTTTATGTAAGAATATAAATTAGATAGGTACTCAGTTTGTATTTAAATTAAGTAGCTATTACCTTTGTAACAGGTTATTACCAATATTGGTTTACATTTCACTTCCCAATCATAGCACATGTACTTGGCTGATGCACTTAATAGTTTGAATGTAATTATTGTTGTAAAAATTTGCCCTCTAGTAACTTTGAGTTGCCCATCTCTGATGTAAATCATACTTTTGTGTTTTTTACTTTCCCCTATCAGTAAACCTAAATGTTGTGAATAATAAAACAAATGAATAATTTAAAGAACCAACATTTCCAACACTGTAAACTAAGGTAATAATGTAATTTCAAAATATAAAAATAAAAATAAACACAAACATGATTAAAATGAACTAAAATTTATTTAAAAAATAAAAATACAAACTGTACATCGTAGACATACATTTACAAATCTGTGTTTAGTTGAGAAAATTGGTTGAAAACAGTTAAAACAACTTATAAAATATAAATAGTAATTTTTGGTGTAAATATATAATTGGTTTCATTAATATTGCAAGCAATTTATGTGCTCGTTTAATTCAGTAAATAATTTTTCTTAGTAAAAAAATAATATATCTTTATAATTTTAATCAAAATAGAGTAACAAATTTGAATAATTTTACATCAAAGCGTGACAAATGCCATTTAAAAATGAAAAGACCGTAATTATTCAAAATTCATGGGTTACGAAATTGTATGTCTTAACAAACAAAAATATTTTGTCAAAATATAAAAAATACTGTAAAGCACACGTAATTAGTACCAAATAACTATAAGCTTGATGCTAATTTATAGTTAAAATGGTACTTGACCACGTTAAAACACACTAAAATATCGAAAGTCAAATATTTACAAGAAGCAAAAACAATAATATAATTTTAGCTGACATTATAATATTGTGTTTTTATTTCTGCTGAAGATTTTGTATACGCTTCTTGCATTGCAGTTCTAGACTTCTCAATAAGACCAGGTAAGTCTTCTTTGGTCATTCCCTCGGTGGGTATTGGAGGCAATATTGTTATGACTGCGTGGCCTTAAATAACAATGTATATTAGATATAATAATAACAATATAATTTACATTGACTTAAAACATTGAAAAGTAAATACCTTTTACCAAAATAGCACTTTTTTCACTAAAATAGGCTCCATACACACTACCACAAAGCAATATAATTTAATGATTTGAATTCGAAAACTATTATTTATCCATAAAAAAAAGGTATTCTGGCATTTACTTAAGAAAATTCATTATTAATATACATTTATAATTTATAACATTTTCAAACATTCTTTTAAGTTGAAATATAGTGGTATATAACAATAGGAATTTTATTGCGTTAGTTTATTTCTGAATGCATTGTTTTGATCCAGCGCAAATATGATACAAACAGATTGGGAAATTTGTTTCAAACGTTACAGCACGTTAAGAGTAACTGATTTTATTAAACAAACAGGAATAGTCTAAACACTTAATGCTTACCGGGATCAAATGTACGTTTTCCGTGGTCCAAAAAGAAATATTGTGTCACAACTACTGGCTGTATTGGACATTGAGCTGAAATAGCAACATGGAATGCACCTTTTTTAAAATTCAAAAGCTCTGGTCCACCGTGTCTTGTGCCTTCAGGAAACATGCAAAGCTTTGCCTGTTAAAAATAAGCAAAAAACACTAACTTTAATAATTGGACAACACTGATTTAAACATAAATTTAATATTTCAATAAGATACTAACAATTATTTAAATGCAGTACCTTTTTCATTTTGATGATATACTCTCACTTATATGTAGTGTTATAAAAGAAACATCAAAAAATTCTTTGATAAATCAAATTAAATTGAGAAAACCTAGAAAGCAATTTTGAGCTCTAGAAAAAAGTTATCCTGATAGCTGTAATTACTTGTTTATGACGAATAGCTTCTCCAGTCTTATTAAGGGTCCTCTGAGCACTTTCTGCATTTAGACGGTCAATGAATATTGTTCCCCACAACCACGAGGCTAGACCAAAAGGCCAAAAGTAAAATATTTCTTTCTTGGAGATCACGGTGCATTTTTTCATTACCGGATATATTTCAGACAATACTGAAAAAACAGTCAGAAAATGTACCGTGTAAATTTATTATATACAACAACAACTAACACAGTAGTCCATTTACCTAATAAATCCAAACAGCTTTGATGATTAATCAAAACAACACAACCTGAATTTTGTACAATATTTTCTTTACCCTTCATTTCCCATGTTATCCCTAATATTTTTGATACTTGGCGTCCACCCCATGCAGGTAATCTGATGAAATAATAAATAAATGATTAAACTTGATACTTGTAGCAAACATTCACATGTATCTATTTACAATCCATTCCTGTAGTCCCTTGGTCTCCATAACATTAATGGTAAGAATACAGTCGCAGACATATATGACAATACTGTAAATATGGTAAATTTGGCGTAGTAACGAAAAGCATGACTAGAAGTGTACATGATAATAATAAACATGATCGCGACAGTGCTGGTTATTTCAAACTTATAGTCGTTTATCAGTAGCATTGTTATGAGGTCTAAGGTCGTAACATAATCAGGAGCTCTGGAACACAATAATTTATTTTTTGTTGAACAATTCTGAGTAGGTACCATGTATAATTGGATATATTATGCTAGATATAAAAATTATAAATTATTTTCTTATCCTTTTTTTTAAAAATTTGTTTGTGATCCCTTATTTGTAATGTTTCATAAACAATAATTATGATTGATATCTGCAATCGAGGTCAACTATGTAAAACATTATATAGGTATACGGTATACCTAATTATAATCATATATTTTTATCCCGAGCAATAATAGGTATGACGTTAATGGTTTAATCAACAGAATAGATTATTATTATTTTAATCAATGTTATGTAATTCTGATGACATGTATGTGAGTATGCCAAATTTTTAGGTTATTTGTTATACAGTTTTTGACACTAAGTGTTCTACAACTGTAAGACACACATTAATTATGCATACTGTGGCAAAATATAAATTGTTTAGGATGATAAATAAAACACATTAATTAAACGTGGAAACAATATAGATAAAGAATATGTTGTTAAAAACAAACGGAATTATTTAAATTATTTACACGTTACTTTTGTCGTTTTGTTTGTCATGGTACCATTAACCAAATATATTCAAATTAAAATAGACGGATATTGTCAGTAATTTATATTCATCATTATAATTTTTCAAAAAAATGTGTTAATTAGGTACCTATCTCGATATTTAGCATTCATTGCTGTTATATATTGATGTAATATAAAAGGTGCTGCGCAATATCTGGGTAGCACAAATTAGTTTTGTAATGCACAGAAAGAAAAATTTTATTTTTTAAATATGAAAGCATCATATTATAGAAGAAAAACAATAGATAAAATGATAAGGGATAATAATGCGGAAGTTATAGATGTTTAAAATCAAATTTAAACAGATTTGTTATTTTATTACTCATCAAACCATGGTGGTATAATAGGTACCTATTAGATATTGTATTATTTTATAACATAACGATAACAATAGACCTCCTCTTGGATTGAGAACTGAGATACTTAAAAAAACGTGTACTTACAATATAAATTAATCTATTATCGTGCGATGTTGGGTTCGAAAGTTTGATCATTGAATATTACATTATATTATTTTGAATTATTGAATTGTCACGGCCGCCGGCGACGAAATAACAAAAACGATAGGTAGCCAGGTAGCTACAGTTATTCAAGTTAATTGACTTTTAAGTGAATCCCCGACACCGCAGGTTTGGCACGTCGAACGATTTCGTTGAAACAATAATTAATAATAAGTGTTATCCGATACGGTTTCCGAGAACTATGAAGAGTCGTGGATGAACTCGAAACGAGAAACCTGAACGACTGTACGAGGTCGACGACGGCGGTACGTTATTACTTATTACTTTTTAGGCACTTTATTGCGTAAACGAAAACTGGTCGTGAAATGACATTATGACAATACGGCATTGCTCCACTAATCCACTCGCTCGATATGCACGACGTCAAGTGTTTCGAGTGTAGTAATAATAATAGTAATAAGTAATAACTAAAAACACTCACAGACGACATTACGATAATGTGTTGCATGCATAATTGATCTATAGGATTGATTATGCGTCGAACCGCGCGACCGACAACCGCCGCAAGCAGGGAATAGGGATTGGAATAAATCGTTAATCGTGACAAAAGCAGCGACCACCGGAAATATTATGTGTACACCAATGGTTACAATTCCAACAGAAAAAAAATTGAATTACCGTTTTCAGTTTTGCAGTTTTTTCAGTTGAGGTATACCGCATCGCGTATTCGCATGTATTAGTATCCAATGCGCAAGAACTAAGACGATATGCAAGTGGGAGAGAATCGATTGATTGATTGGAGTGTCGACACGTGGGGTATATATTGTATCGATCGGACGAGAGAAATGAGATCTGGCTGGCGATAATCCGTGCCAAAAACAGAGGAAACTAGCGTATCACTTCGGCACGTCGCGTCCACGGACGAGGCAAACTACACACCGGATTGCCAGAATCGAAAACTAAAATTATAAATTTAGAAATAGCCCTAGATAGGGTTCTTGGCTATTAAGTCACAAAATCACAAAATTACTAATTACTAATTAGTACACTTTTGGCTTTTAGCTATAGCTGATAAGGATGTTTTCGTACAATCTCTGAATGCCTGAACTACTATCTGAAGCGAAGCACGGTATTTTCGTGGGTTATCGTTGTTCGTGTTATCAATCGAGAAGTTGAAGTATAATATATTATACTATATATAGCATCAAGTGTCGTTGGTTGGTCACATTGTAAGGCGAGTGGTCTCGTGTATGGTATGATGTCACACGCCGAACAATCCGCTGGTCCTTATCACGGTGCGATAATTATTATTAATTTCCCGTCCACGGTCCTTACACCACCATTCTACGGTACTTCTAAGTAGGTTCAAATGTTCAATACAAACCAAAAATAGTAAAAAGACGTCATAATATTGTGGTGTTTCGTTAATTTACAATTTAATATTAATGTTATAATTGCCGGACATCGGAGCGATAGAAAATCGTATCATCATCGTACAATTGCATATGCATATTCTGAGTACTAGACGATGTCATGTACCAGTCGTCTTTGACACCACCTCCAACAGTCACACTAATAATAACAGTTTTTCCGACTCTTGCGCTTCCGCATTAAAAATACGTTCGGATATTCCGGCCAAACCTCCGCTGTCGAGCATATGGTTTTACGAGCAGCTCGCGCCTATCCAACAGACAAATCTTTAATTTCGCAGGGTATTGTTACTGTTGCTGCGATGAACAGGAGAAAACTGAAATTGGACATGACACACTCTGCTTCAGATAGTGGTAAGTCGACCAAATCTCTCGCTGCACGGGCTGATTGGTTGTTACTGTACTAATTATCTACAAAACTATAGTTAAAAATTTTTAATAGTTAATTTAATACTATTAGAACAGTTTTTTTTCTGATTGTTATGGAACACAATCAATACTTTATTTCTCAGAACTTAGGCTGTAGTAGTTTTCAATGTTTTCATCATAGAGCGAATTTATGATCAACACACTTTGTGTGTTTTTTATCACTATTTAGTTATAAATTTTTTTCTACTTTTACACTTAATTGCTTTATTGAATACAATCTATGGTATGTCTTAGATAATTATTGAGTAAATAAGCTGAATAAATGGAAAATACTAAATAATATATTGGAAATCTTAAAAAACGAATACTGGTACCTACAACTTCTAATTTTTCATAATTGCAATGTATATAATTAATACTTTAATTATTACAATCTGATCATATGTTTTAAGTAGTTAAAAAGTATTTTTAACCTTTATCTAATTAAATTATGTTTACAGAATCTAAAGAAGTTGAAAATTACGTTAATAACGTCAAAGAACAAATTATGAATGCAACTGAACTTAATAATTCTGATTATGGTTTGTATTAATAATAACTATTAGTTATATTATTTTGCTATCTTATTTATTATTTCATTTAATTAAATGTTAAGTTAATTGTTCAGTTCTATATGAAGCAAACATCATAATAATAGTACAGTGAAACTTCCATATAACGAAGCCGAATAAGCAACGAAAAAAATTCGTAATATGGAGGAATTTGTTAAATAGAATTACATATTTTTTTCAACTTTTTTTAAAAAATTTATTGTATGTATGTATATACTTCTATGTTGTATATGTTATGTAAAAAACAACATCAAATATAATATTACAGTTTAATTTAGTTTTTAATTTTATAATTCAAAAGAAATAATTAGTGAGTTTTGTTTCCTTATTATTTTTATAAATTGTACTTTTTTCATAAAAAGTTTCTATATCATTAAGTTTTAAAATACTGCAATAAAATTAATCAGTTTGCCTACCTTTGATGTCTTATCTTTATTGGATTCATTGTTCATGTACAATTTTAGAACTATGTTTAAAATTTGATAGTGACAACATCTACAAAAACCAGTTTTTATTGTATAATCATTTCGTTGTATAGAAACATCAGATTCATTATTTGGAGATAAATGTACGTGTATTTAACAATGAAGGTCATGGTTCTCAAAAATAATTCGTTAAATAGAAAATTTTGTTATATGGAATTTCCACTGTATTATTTACCATGGTAGTACCTATATCTAAGGTAAAATGTTTAAATGATCTTTCCTTCCTGAAATTTTGATTAAATCATAAATATTAAGTTGATAATATTATGTTTGATTTACATAAGTAATGTATAGTTTGTGTTCTTACTTTTTTTTATGTAGTATGGCAGGAGTGTTATGATGACGTTTCAGGATTTATTTACTATTGGAATACCCAAACAAATAAAGTCACATGGGAAAAACCTGAACATTATGAAGCAGCACACAGTATTGAAAATCAAGGTATGTTGGACATTATTGTTAAAATGTAAAAATACTGTATAATAATTATATATTATTATGAATCTTAAGAAACGACAAAATAAACTTAAGTAGAAATGTTGTAATAAATTGCTAAAATTGTGTTCTAGATGTAAACAAGACGAAAAACTCCAGAAAACGGCTTTCAAGTGATTCGTTGCCTACTCTTGATCCAAATTCGTGTAATGGATCTAAAAAATCAAAACTAGAATCTAAAGTTTTAAGTGCGCTAGTGGCTTATGGAAGTGATTCTAGTGAAGATGAGAATGAAGATGATAAGGATCAAAAATCCACTATACTTCAAAGATTGCAACAAAAGGCTGAAATGTTCAAACAAAAGGAATTGGCTAAATTATCTAAGGATAAATCACCTGGTTCTTGTGAAACAAATGTTCAGCCTGATATTTTAGACATTATTGACAATGAAGTACCGCCAGATTATTTAGTAGAAAAATCTACTACATCTAAATCTTCAGAAAAAAAAACTACTGGTGATATTTTTGATATTTTAAAAAGTGAAGTACCCCCTGATTATGTCGATATCACATTAAACAATAATACTGGAGAAGAAAATAAATTAATTGTTCCGTTGGATACTGATGCAATGGGTAATAAACTGCATTCAAAAACTGTTGAAAATGATTCAAATACCAATTCAAATTCTGACGAAAAAATCAATAATTTGACTTTAGATTCTTTGAAAGAAAATTCTTTGAAATCTATTAATCTAATTGCGAATTATGGTGAAGAAGATCATGAAGATTTAGGTAAAAATTGTCTAGTTCTAAGTGTTTAATACCTATTTTGATAATGGCGAATTAAATATATATTAGTTAACTATTATAATGCAAAATATTAATACAAATTATTTTTATATAATATTACAGATGATCAAAAAAGTGAATTAAATGAGAAAACACTTTCATATGTCCAAGACCCGTGTGCTAATATTAAAATTGGATTTGGTTATTCTGTCTCATCCAAACACAATAACGGAGGTTCTATCAATTTTGTTAAAGGCGAAACAATAAATGTACATGATAATCATAATACCAATAAAAATAGTGTTTTCACAAAACATGAAAAAGATTTTAATAAAAATTGTGATATGAAAAAATGTAATTTGTTTTTGAAAATTTTAACTAATATAAGCTGTTTTAATTATTATTATAATATTTTTTCTTTTATTTTAAGCTAAAAACCATATTGAAGATTTGTCACTGCTGATCTCATCAAAATTACATTTTCTGTCAGATTGTGAAAAAAATGATAAATTGTCTTCAGTTCAAGTTATGACTATTAAAATTGATGTAAGTTTAATTTATTTAAAAAAAAAAGAATGTCTGTGAAATATTAAATTATACAACTGTATAATTATTAAATATTAGCTACTTATAAATGTTTGTAATACATCAGTTGTACAAAATAGTATTATCTGTTAAGTACTTAAATAAAAAACCAAAATCTTATGTCTTTTTGTTAAGTTTTTAATAATTTGTTGTTTTTTAGACTTTAATGGAAGCCTGGAAAGATAGTTGTTTGAATGACGAATATTTCTCAAAGTGGTTGGATGAAATGGCTATCGAGTTATGTACTTTAGAAGAGTCAGTTGCACCAGTTGGATGGACATGCCAATGGGACAAGTATGTGTCATGTAATTTGTTAAAATTATGGACTAACAAAATATTTCATTACAAAAGAATCAAAACATGTATTTTATTTAATAATATTCATTTAGGAGGGGGTTTATTTTTATTGGACATTTTTAAACAAAATATTAGAAGTACTATTGATTTTCAATAGTGTAAATATTTTGTAACAAAGGCTAAAGCAGTATTTTATCCTATTCGTCTGAAAACAAGTAGGTATGTATGTGGATGCATCTAGACATGACTTGATCAACTTCAATGCAGATTGAAACAAGGAAAAATCAACAAAATTGACTTGAATGTGCAAATTAATTAATTATTACTGTAATAATATTATATTTTTACTACTTTATATTTAATAGTATTCAGTTGTATGGTTTGCATATGAGCCGTGTTAAGCGCAGGTGGAATAATATGGCGGAATTAATATCTACAAGACAGGTTTGTCTCCAACAGGCTCTACTACAACATTTTTTCATTATTAAAATGGTTATTTGAGTCAAACATAAGTATCATTATTAAATAAAGTTTTTATATTCTAAATCATTAATATTAATTTACAAAAAAAAAAAAATGTTAGTAATGTTTTAAGCATAATTTTTTTTTTAAATTTTAAAATGTGTCTTTTCAAAACTGGTAATACTGTTTGTTTTATAATGTTTTGTTATGGATATTATTTTAGAATTAACACGCGGTATTACTATCAGAATGATGTTGATGGCCGCACACAGTGGCAATATCCAACTGATGAATCTGAACGTACCCCTTCGCCACCTGTGATTTCTAATGCGAGTACTCCTCCTCCTCCAAACATTTCCGATCAAAATTATTGCCACCCTGAACCAGTGGACATGGATATCGATGAAGATAACCATAAAGAAGACACGGAAATTATTGTCGTATGGAAAACAATTGCATTTGGTGTTCTATTTTCACTTGAATTGAGTTTGTTTTTTCTTTTAGCCACCAATTCCTGGAGATGAACTGTCGTATGAATTAAATTCATTTTATGCTGATCTTGCTCAGTTTGAATCGAAACCAGCTGGTCAAATTGAAACAATGATTGCAGTTCCATCACCCGAAATAGTCGAAAATGCTCCAAAATTAAAAACCACTGTTGATACTACAAAAAACACTTTAGAAGAAGAAAAAGAAATTGTCAAACCAAAGAAGAAGAAAAAGGTATTTATATTTTATAATATTTTAACTATCGAAATGGTTACATTTTTTCCATACAGTCATTGTCCATGTGTATTATCTATCTATCCTGTTAGAAAGAGATGTGTTACTCTTGTTAAATCGACTAAACTTTTAATCAGCTCATATATTTTCCAACATTATAAATTAATTGTTTATGGAATATTCAATATTATTATATTGACCAATGTGAATAGAATTAAATTAATAATATTAAATTAAGCTTATCAGTTAATTTAACTTATATACATAATATGATGCTGACATGATGAATTTTGTTTACAGGTGGGAAAATTGGATGTGGGCCTGGGATTAAAACAAAAATATGTATCATCACTTGTACAGAAGTGGCAACAAATTCAAAATGAAATCAAATGACAGCTGTTTCATCACCCAACCCTTTTTCGATTTAGATTAATTTCTAAATCCTTAGTCTTACCAATTAAAATATTAACAATATGTTTGTAAATTATGTAATTACTTTTAGAAATATATTATAATATATTTTAATAAGTTAACTTTTAAATTTGTATTAAATCATTACGATGTGTATAATCAGTTATTAAGAGGATGTCAGTGCACAAATATTGTAGTACATTAAAACCTAGTATCAGAATCACAATGCAATGTGACTCACATCAAATGAGTTTAATTTTGCATAAACTTAGTTTTATTTTAAAACAAGAACCTAATCCCTTAGGCTAAACATATTGGTGGTTACTCAGCAAAAATATCTAAAAGACACTTAAGAATTAGGATCAAAGATACTTACCTAAAGAAATATGTGTTTCTCCAAAGTGTATGTGGAAAAACAACAGTGGTGGCTATTTAACAAACAATTAAATTTCTTCTATCCTGAAAAGGAATATTCCTACTTGAAAAATTGAGAAGTCAAGTCCTAAATAATATTAATATTGTTGTCTACAGTATTTTTATAAAAGAAATTGTTGCCCTAAAATCATTCTAGAATAATGTTTGACCATTTTCAGTGACTGTTTTTATCAATTAGTGTGCAAATATGGAATCTTTTCTAAATTACTTAAAAATAGTGATAACTATTTACAAACATTTTAATGTTACAATTTTGTTAAATTGCTTACATCAAACCACATTAAAAATTATTGCACTTGACATCCTTTTCAATGCAAATTAGTATATATTATTGAACAACGTTGGAAATAGAACATTGAACAGCCCACATAGGAATTATTTTGTATGTGTTGTTCAATGGTAATAAAATGTATACAACTTAACATTGTATGCATTATGCATACAATTAATCTCTGTGCTTTGAAATATGAAATATTAATGACTATTAGAGAATTGAGAATTTAATAAATTAATATTGTATATTGGTTGTTCTTTATTTTTATTGAGCAAAAAATAATATAATTATTATCGGGGGACATTGCGACATAATATTTGTTTTCACAATGGCAATATTTTGAACCATTACACTACTGATTATATGATATATTTTTTAGACGACCATTTTCATTAAATTAGTAATTCAATTTTTACAATGCTAGCAAAGTAGAAGTTAGTTAATGTAATTATTGTAAGATGTAATTTAATAGAAATTTTAATTTCATTTTTAAGTATTAAAAATCAAGTTTTCAAAATGTTAATAATATTGTTAAAATACATTAAGGAGTATAAACTAAATAGTAAATTTTGAATGACTACAAATCATCATTGAACAAAGCAATACTATACTTGTTTTTTGTCATCAATCATACAACAGCCTTAATTGGGGACTTGTTCTAGTTTTATATTTACACTTTTTGATTGTTATTAAATGTGTAGTGCAATTTTATTATAATAAAATCAAACATAATTAATTCGATGAGTTTAAGTTGGAGGAAGGGGAATGGATTTTTATTAAATAATCTTATTTAAGTTGTTGAGTAGGTAGGTACTCTTGTAAATTCTTATAGTTGTTGTTACAGTAAAAACTGAAAGTTGATATAAAATATTTGAGTGAGGCAGTTGGTATATAGTATATATGTTACGGTCAATGATGAAAACTGAACATTTACGTTATTAACCGGTCATTAACGTTAGAAGCCAAGTTGCTAGGTTATTTTCGTAAACTACCGGGCAATAACGTCAGTTTCCAAGATAATAGACTATTGTTGTAAATTACAAAACAAAATAAAACAATTTTACCTCAATGACCGAATATTAACGTTATTAACCATTGACTGTTGGTAAATTACGTAAATTACTGAAAATACACATTAATTTAATTAATTACAGACTACAGTTATTAATATTTATCTTATAATTTTTTTTATTATTAATTATATATTATATTTATTATTTATTTTCGCAAGGCATGCTGTTGTGACATTTTGAATTGCACAATATTCCCGCTAATCGACAAATGCATTTGTTTGTTCTGCACTTTAGTTTGCAATTACACCTTCTGTAACCTTGTGGTCCAGTGACACTACTAAAACCTGCAGCTTCTCTAAGCGTAATTTCTTTTTCGGTATTTACAGATACCAAATCAACAAAACATTCTTTGCAGGGATCGATCTGCGATCGAGTATACAAATGTTTAATTATGCCGTTCTCTGTACCTAATTAAAGATAAGCATATTTTATAAATTCAAATAAATATATTTAAATAATATAGGTAATTATAATTTTATAAGTACCTAATTTATATAAATCATCTTCAACCTGGGTAATAACTGCTAATAGGTTTCGTGGTGATCCACGTGCTCGATCAACATCAGGTATTCCAACTTTAACTGTGGTACCAACTTCTAGTGGACTAAATTTCTTATTTGAAATAGTCATCATTTTTTTGGCTTGTTTCTTTAAGCATTCACTTGATTTATGTCGTTCATTCTGTATTTTCTCATGACGTTGGCAATGCATGCATTTTGTACTTTCATTGTCAGCTTCCAGGAAAATAAAACATGTTTCACATTTTCTTAGGTTCGTATCTAATATGTTTAAATAATATGTTATTTTCATAAAATTTAAAATTTAAAATATAATATTAATTTACCTGTATCTATCTTATTTTCTTGCTGTTCTGAAATTGGTGAAATAACTTCTTCAATATTTTGTTTTGAATCATGTAATCCAATTTCTTGCATTCGATTAAACAATTTTTCTATATCTTCTTCTGTTTTTAATGAATTTATTTCATCATTTGGTAGACCGATCGATAATAGTCCTGTTCTGGCAGTACAGCCAAACATGGCTTCATAAGGAGATCTTCCAATACCTAAAAACAAGTTTTAAAAAAAAACCTATTATTATAATTACCATAAAATAACCATAGTTGAGCCTAGAACAATTATAGAACCCTAATACTTTTTAACACATTAATACACTATCATACTAATTATAATAAATAACTGTACTGTTATTGATATCGATTAGAATAAAACATACATATTAGGTATATTAAGATAATTATGTCGGGTTGAATGAAAAATTAATTATTTTAATAAATTATACTAAATACTTTTTTTTTACCTGAATGAAGAGCTCGGTTTTTCTGAAACTGAATAAATTTCAAACCAGAGGGCCAATCCGTACTATTGTTTTCTGCCATCCACGTAGCCAACATATCCTCTACATCTCTATTTGCTCGTTCCACAGAACCTTGGCTCTGACTGTGCCTTGGTTTACCATGAACAATTTTGACGTCTTCCCACATATTGTGTAGTTCAGTTANAAAAATCCAATAAAACAAATTACCTACCTTTGATAATTTGTTAGATAACCACCAGCTGCAGTGTATTAATATTATTATGGTTTGCTCGACTGCTCGAGTAACTATCGCTGATTATCATTTAACGAGTGTAGATAGCTAACTAAAAGTGACCTGTATGTTATAAATGTATAAATAATGAATAATTTACAACAACGTCCAGCAGGAGTTTGGAATTTACGTGAATAATAAAATAACACCCGTGTTTACAACAATAACCATTATGTGTCGCCACTTACGTAAATTACCGGTCATTTATGTAAATTTGTATTATACAAGGTAATTTTCGACATTGGCCGGGCTATAACGTAAATATCCTCATTTTCGTCATTGACCGTAACAAGATATAATTCAATTTTAAAAATAAAAATGGGAAGGGGGCATGAGCGCCCGAGGGAAAATCAGTTTTAAGAAACGAAAAAAAAAAATTATGAAAATATGTGCATTAAAAAAAAATATTAAAGACTGCAGTCCACAACATAAGTATTCCTAATCTCCTAGCATTATGTACAATAATTATATCATGAGAAAATAATTTAAGGAACCAGCTGGTTATCAATATTTAAAGAATGTGAATAAAAAATTGAACTAAGGGGAAATTATAGAAAAAAATTGAAAAAATCAGATATTATTTAATTTTAAAAATGAAAATGGGAAGGGGGACATGGGCGCCCGCGGCCAAATGCGTTTTGAGAATCGAAAAAAATAAAAATATGAAAATATTTGCATTAAAAAAAAACATTAAAGACTGCAGTCTACAATATCGTTAGTAAAAAACTCATGGTGTTATTTACAATAATTAAATGCTGGTTATCCAAATTTAAAAATGGTACTTAAGTCATTGAGCATTCAATTTAAAATAAAAATGGGAAGGGGGACATGGGCGCCCGCAGGCAAATGCATTTTGAGAATCAAAAAAGAAAAATATTTAAAAAAATGAAATATCATTAAACTTTAAAAATAAAAATGGGAAGGGAGGCATGGGCGCTCACGGACAAATCAGTTTTAAGAATCAAAAAAATTAAATATATGAAAAAATTTGCATTAAAAACAAACATTAAAGACTGAAGTCTATAATATCAGTATGCCTAAATTCATATTTTTATTTACAATAATTAAATGCTGGTTATCGAAATTTAAAAATGGTATTTAAGTCATCGAGAATTCAATTTAAAAATAGGAAAATGGGAAGGGGAGCATGGGTGCCAGCAGGCAAATGAGTTTTAAGAATCAAAATAAAAAAATATATTTAAAAATATTATAAAGTATAAATTTAAAAATGAAAATGGGAAGGGGTGCAGGGGCGCCCGCGGGCAAATCAGTTTTAAGAAACGAAAAAAAAAATTATGAAAATATGTGCATTAAAAAAAAATATTAAAGACAGCAGTCCACAATATAAGTATTCCTAAACTCCTAGCATTATGTACAATAATTATATCATGAGAAAATATTTTAAGGAACCAGCTGGTTATCAATATTTAAAGAATGTGAATAAAAAATTGAACTAAGGTTAAATTATAGAAAAAAAATGAAAAAACCAGATATGATTTATCTTTGAAAATAAAAATGGGAAGGGGGCCATTAGCGCCCGCAGAAAAATGCCATTTGAGTATCAAAAAAGAAAAATATTTAAAAAAATGAAATATAATTCAATTTTAAAAATAAAAATGGGAAGGGGGACATGGGCGCCCACGACAAATGCGTTTTGAGAATCAAAAAAAATAAAAAAATGAAAATATTTGCATTAAAAAAAAACATTAAAGACTGAAGTCTATAATATCAGTATGCCTAAATTCATATTTTTATTTACAATAATTAAATGCTGGTTATCGAAATTTAAAAATGGTATTTAAGTCATCGAGAATTCAATTTAAAAATAGGAAAATGGGAAGGGG